AATGGATCTTTTAATACACGTAAATCTACTGGTTGACTTAAATATACGCTTACATGGGTTGGGTAAAACACTTTAAATATTCAATGGAAAACTGTCAGAAAAATAAGAAAAAAATTAAACTTTGCAACTGGTAGAGCATTTCTCAAACCCATTTTCATGCCAATATATTTGGATTACTGTCATGTCTCGTCTTGAGCAAAAGGTAAAACTGATGGCCGTTTGTGTAAGTATACAGTGAAAACCGTAATGCACGATTCAAATAATTTATTTATACAAACTCCAGGTTCAGTTTATAAAGGATTACACAGGGAGTCAAACTTTGTCCTGACAGGGAGAAGAAAATTCTTTCCTCAGAATTTGTTTCAAGTGACAAAGCCGATAATCATGTACAACCCCTCTTCACTGCCTGGACAGAGAGAGGTCTCGTCACACCAAAGTAGTTACATCGGCTGGTAAATAAAAAGTTTGTCCTGGCAGGGTCAGTAGTTCTGACCCTTTCTCTGGCTCTTTAGCAGGGTGAAATTTAAATCTGAACAGAACTGAGTTGAAGGGCTGGAAAAACAGAGCCCCACATCAGGATCCTCTTCAGGGAAAAGAGTAGCCTGGTGGTAAGCCCTGGCTCCCATCCACAAAATTATACAAGCATCCTAACAGCTTACTCCTGCTTACACAGCTGATGGAAAGCTCCCAGAGCAGAGCTGAAGTTCAGGTAGCTATAAGCAGGTTTTTATTTATTTCTCTATGCTTGTCTTCAGACCTAGTAACCACATTAGTATTGGCTAAGAAAAATTCTTTATATTCTTCACACATTTCAGCTGGTATTAAGCATGGCTTCAGGACAACCGGCAAACACCAGGTTATACAGCTCCCTTCCGTAGCGAGAGACTTGGAGCTGGGACACTGGGCAGTCCCCGCAGCACCTAGCACATCTAGGGGCAACGGTACTGCTCCCCCCACCATGCTCACCAGCCGGCAAGCTGACAAGGTGTCAGTGTGGATGAGAAGGTTTCCAGAAGGCAAGAGCCAAGCCAAGGGCCAGTCCCAGGGTGCCTAAACAGCAGGATCCCTGGCAAATGCTTATTCATCTCTAAAGCACATCTATCAGCTGTAAGCAACGAACAAACCATTTCAAAAGCATTAAATGTTGCTGCAAGCAGTTTAGTAGTTGCTGCTGCTATCTACTGTTGCATCTACTTGATATTTATTCAGATCTTATCTTGTTTGGAAGTATTTCCAAAAGCTCTGATAGAAGCAAAATGAAAAACATCGAACGCTCCCTGTTTTGCCTACGTTGTTAAAATAATACATTCACCTTGTTCGCATACGATTCGTATTGTTCAAATCCCTTAGGCCAGCAAACCGACCCCCTGTAGTTACTGCCTGGAACATTCTGAAACAGGGTTTTCCTACCTATGGCTAGGATGATTTTTTGACTCTCCATGCAGAATAAAGCAATTCATACTGCCTGCAGACTGGAGCAGCCCACTGACAACCCTCTCTCTGGAGCTGATCTCCTTTTCCTGCCCGTTCACTGATCCTTTCCATAGGTGGAACCTGAACCACATGAAGACGGCCAACGCACGTAGGAAGGGAGCAGCTGCTGTGGTGATCCTAGTCACAGCACTCCTGATCAGCACGTCTCTTTGTTGCTAACTTTAGCCTTGTTCCGTTTTGATGGTTGCCTGCCATCCTCAAAACAGCTCTAGTTCAGTAAAATAAACAATTGAGGGAAAAAAAAAACCAACCCTGGCTGAATTAAATTGCTCAGCCTTGAAGGAAAACATGCCTGTTTCTAACTTGGAAAGTCTAGACAGTCTGGATTATGACTAAGAACTAGGGACAGTCAGAAAGACCAATTTAGAAGAGCACAGTCCCCACCTTCTTATGCCTCAACTGTTGGATTTGCTTCCACTCTTTTTTTTAAACCTTATTTAAGATGATCCAGTGGAATAATTAGGGAAGCACTGGGGGATGTTGCACAGAAGTTATAGCCTTTCGTGCCTCACGCAGCTTGGGCCTACTGGGGATTTCTTAGTCTGCTGCACTGGGGACTTTGGGCATGGAGCAGACTGGAGTTGAGCAGAAGGATCCATGACAACACAATTTCCTGAAAACTCTCCCAAGTGGAATAGGGGTTGTAAGAGATGTGGGAACAGTGCCAGAGCCGCAGTCAGAGCCACAGACCCACACTAATGATTCACTCACTGGGAGAAGGGGGGGAGAAAAAAAACTTTTTTTTTAAAAAAATTCAGGCTTTTTCCCTAATTTTGGTTCTTGTTTTGTAATGCTGCTGCACGTGCTGAGCTCTGGACATGGGAACTCTGTGGACTCCCAGTGAGCCAGAAGTTAAGTAAAGGCTTACACATCAGTCTCCCATCTCCTCCAGGATCTCTCAAATAAATGCAAAGGGGTCTTAAAGGCAGAACTAAATTGTGGAAAGTGAAATCCCACTTCGAAATGTTTATTGGATCAGGGCCTTTATTTGTACAAGGAAAGACAATCACAACAAAATAGAATATGGTTTTACTCATCAAATATGAGAAACACTGATGGTAACATATGTTTGTTCACTTTTTCTTTTTAGCACAGCTTTAGCTACTGTGACTTGACAAATCCCTTTCCCTTTTTATAAACATTTGGTACATGTTTTACAAAAAAACCTACTAACAGAAGGTTTAGCTAAATAATTGATACATGAATCCAGAACTGAATATTAAATGCATTAGATTTTTTTTTCCACACAGTTGCTACCACAACAGTAAATATCATCCACAAAGTAGAAAACATAATTCTGAAATCTCATCTGAGCAGAACTATAATTGAGAGTTTGTTCAGATACACCCCACATTTATATCCTAACGACGTGCCAAAAAATACAGATGTTCATCACAAGATGAGATAAAAGGGTGATTGCCAGAGACATAATGAAAATGCTCTGGTTTAATCTATTCATCCCAAGGTACACTGTCCAATTGTTCCAAACATGTTTATTTTACTAATAATTTCAGAAATTCAGAGAAGATGATTAACTACTGCCACCCCCTTGCTCCATCCCCCAGCAAAACAGTCTAATGTGAGAAAGTAAGAATTAAAGATGAAGGTGGAAAGTTGTTGTTGCTACTTCTAAATATAACAAACAATGTAGGCAGTGGATAGCTAATGAACACAAACTGTGACTTCCGAAGCTGCATATTTAGCCATTTGGCAATGTGACACATCTGCTAAAGGCAGTATGAAAGCCAGGACAGTAATTCATTTACTTAGAGGTTTGGAATAGGAGAAATATTACAGAACTAATATGCGAGCTGGCTGTGAAATATACTTTGTAGTTCGTACAGAACAGTTTAAATAACACTGATTATTCAAAGTTTCCAATTTCCTTTGATTCTGCAATATTCTTAGGAAAAAGGTGACATAACTGGCTCTGCGCTGCATGGATTATCGTTAGTGAAAAGCAGTATTATATATTCTAATTTAAAATGAGTCCTGAACTAAGTAATGATTATAAGTCAGACATAAATTTTGAAGTGAAACCTCTAGGATATAAAACGAAATAGCCAACCAACCTCACTAGTGAAAATTTTTAACAGATTTTACAGACATAGATAGGATAACATCATATACTTTTATTTGGCTGACTTGAGGTAAAAGGACATCCAATAATTGAAAGTATTTTTATTTAAATACTTTTGAAACAAAAAATGTATTGTGATTTAAGAACACGTTATAAGTTATAAATCCACCTTTGACAGGAGATAAAACTCAGTCTTTCATTTTTTCATTT